AAAGAAAGAAAGAAAGAAAGAAAGAAAGAAAGAAAGAAAGAAAGAAAGAAAGAAAGAAAGAAAGAAAGAAAGAAAGAAAGAAAGAAAGAAAGAGTAGAGTGGAAGAGGATGCTGCAGCTGCAGCAGTTTTCTCTTTGTTGACTGAGATTCATTAGAAAGAGGATTTCAGAAATTCCTCTTCACTAAATGCATCCATGAGTCCAGTTCTCCCAGCTCTGAACTCACGTAGGTGGCAGGTTTTTCCCTTCCAGCTGTCCACACAGCTGCAGAAGAAGTCATTGAGCAGATCCACACACAGCCCGTCATTCTGACATGGGTTTCCACTGCACTCATTCACATCTGGAACAAACAACAACACAAAGGTTCAGAAGCACCAAACATGAAAACTACCAACTAACCTCACGTCCACTTTCATCATGTCTTCTCATTCTGTGCTTGTTTCATCTGCTGTCAAAAATACTGCTTTTATTTACAAGTAGRAAAAAGTTGAGATGTTGTAAAACATACAAAACAAGTACAAACTGCAATGATTTTCAAATCTCATAAAACCATAATTTATCCACAATGAAACAGCAAACAGATCAAATGTTGAAAGTAAGAAACTGAACAGCTTAACTTAATAAGGTCTGTAACACTCTGGACTTAAAGAGACCAGTTTGGGAGTAATGTTTCCACTGGTCTGATGGAGGGTTCTACATGTTCTACAGTTCAGAAGCTTGTAAACACTATACGAATTTATAAAATTAGCAAATCATCACATTTGTCTTTATTGTTACAATTAACACAGTGTCCCAACTTTTTTTTTTGCACAATTGGTGGGGCGATAAAATATTTGCTTATTGTTTACTAACTTCTTATGTTAGGTTAGACCTAATAAATCACATCAGACCTTTGATTAAAACTCTGGTTTGCAAGGTTGGACATGATATGCATTCCATTAAGAAATGTTAGCTTTATTATAAATATTTGTCCGTTAGTGCTCAGAGTGYRTGTTGGTGATCACTCAACTACGACCACACCATAGATCAGCTTCATATCTGTAAAATGGACTGAGTTATAGCTGTTTTTGTGCAACATCACAGAGCATCCCCCCATGTCTATCCTTGTGGGGACTTTCCAYTGACTTCCATTCATTTTTTGGAAATTTTGTAGCCTAGCCCTGACCACTTATCCTAAAATCTTTGTTACTTTACAACACTGCCTCACAACCCCACCCCCTAGATCTAACCCAAACCTGAACTCATTTCATATCTTAGTCCTAAACCTAAGACCCAGTGCTGTTCCACCGTATTAGGACTGGGTTCTGGTCCTCAAGGTAGGTGCTTATACCAGAAAAGTCCTCAGAAGGTACTTAAAACCAGRTACAAACACACACTCACCAACATCACACAGCATCCCCTCCCAACCATCAGGGCAGACACACTTGAATGAGTTGATGCCATCGATGCAGGTGCCTCCATTCTTACAGGGGGATGATTGACAGTCATTGACGTCTGTCGGCACAGAGGAAACATTTTCAACAGAAAATTATAGAAACGTGTCGAAAGAAAAAAGCTTTTATCCATTTTTAGTTCTCTGTGTCCTGTTACAGAAACAAATCAACTCAAAGTACTAACTTTGAGGCTACATGTTTGACTCTTTAAGCTTTCAGCATTAGTGTTAACATTAGTTTGTGGTATTATATTAGCATTAGTACAATTTTTTAGTATTAATATTAGTATTAGTACTAGTATTAGTATTAGTTAGTGTTCATGTTTTCTATCTCATGGTTTTTTTCTTTCTGTTTTAAACCAAACTAAGGGGTCAGGTGTGTACCTGTGAGGTTAGAGTCAGGTGTGTACCTGTGAGGTTAGAGTCAGGTGTGTACCTGTGAGGTTAGAGTCAGGTGTGTACCTGTGAGGTTAGGGTCAGGTGTGTACCTGTGAGGTTGGGGTAAGCGGTCAGGGTTAGGGTATATAAATCAATGCAATGTCTCCATAAAGACAGCTGTAGTAGACCGTGTGTGCACTTGTGTGCACTTGTGTGTACTTGTGTGTACTTGTGTGTACTTGTGTGTGCGTGTCTCAGGGTAATAATGGCTCACTCTCATGGCAGTAGGTGCCAGTGAATCCTGCATCACATGAGCAGCTGAAGTTCCCAGCAGGCCTGCTGATGCAGTGACCATGTGGTCCACACACGTTAGATGAGATGTGCCACACCTGCTGTGCTGTGTCATTGGTTGCAACAGCAACAGTGCAGCTGTCAATCACTGAGGATTATGGGTAAGAAAAGGAAAATAATTTCAGTAGAGTGTCTTTGAGCTTAAACCTTTTCTATAATTATGCTGATATGATGGATGTGAGGGGATCTTCAGGTGCTTTCTCACTTTGGCATTTGTTGGTCTTGCAGTGGTCCTTGAGCTCAGAACAAGTTTGACCCTCGTAGTTGTTTGGGCAGCTGCAGTAGAAGTCTGCCATCAAGCTTTGGCATTGAGCCTGGTTCTGACAGGGGTTTGGGCTACAAGGATCATCCTGCACCTTCACAGAGAAATACCAAACATCAACAATACACACCTGGTATGTGTTGTTTCACACTGCTGAACGTAGTTTTCACCTCACACATTGTCCCACTGAAGCCTTGAGGACATTCACACATGAAGCCATCCAGCAGGACTTGGCAGTGGCCCCCRTTCTTACACAGGCCGCTCCAGCAGCGGTTCCTCTGGACTTCACAATGACGACCCGCATACCCAGGCTGGCAAACACACTGGTAGCCTCCAGGTGTCTTCTGCTGCAAAGACAAGAAGTCAGGTGGACTGCTTTACCTTTCAGCTTTGTGTTTATAATTATTTGGTCTTTCTTCTCATAGAAAAGATACATGGATCAAATAAAATGTTCCTGGACAATAGTTCTACATAAAAAAACTGATGTTCTACATAAATAAACTGATGTTCTACATAAATAAACTGATGTTCTACATAAATAAACTGATGTTCTACATAAATAAACAGATGTTCTACATAAATAAACAGATGTTCTACATAAATAAACTGATGTTCTACATAAATAAACTGATGTTCTATATAAATAAACAGATGTTCTACATAAATAAACAGATGTTCTATATAAATAAACTGATGTTCTATATAAATAAACTGATGTTCTATATAAATA